GGGGGGGGGGGGGTGTGGGTGGGGGGGGGGGGGGGGGGGGGGGGGGGGGGGGGAGGGGGGGGGGGGGGGGGGGGGGGGGGGCGAAACAGAGGCAAGATTAGAAACAAATAGCGTTAATTAGGCATAGGGAAGGAAAGATTGTAAAGCGCGGAGATATCAACCTATTAATCGACGACCGAGGGGGCGGGGGCGGAAATACGGAAACGAAATATGAGCGACAGGCAACACGCAGGGGATAGGCAGTAGAAAATAGACTACAGATCGGCACTTAGGTGGGAAATGGTGGAGAAGGTCGCGGTTTTACCGTATGTTCGAGCCCACCGGGAGGCGGTGCCGAGGGGGCGTTACAAGGTCAGCTGGAGGACAGCGCTTTTTGCCCGGGAGCCTCTCCTACATCTTGACGCAGCCTCTAGGACCAAAACCCTTTTGTTGAGAGCACCCATTCCCCACACATGGAACACATGCGCGAGGGGCGGCGGGAGGGGGAAGTCTTTCTTCCACAACTGCGAGCGATGGCCTAGACCAGGTCTACTATGCTCAACCGGTAAGGAAGCCTGGCGGGTTGCCGCCAACCTCCGCGTAGCGGGGGCGGAAGACAGTTTTAGTGGGTATGCACCGAAACCGTCCATACTACCTGGACTATCTTCCCAGGTGTCCGTAATAGGATTTCTGTCTTCCTCAAAAAAAAAAAAAGAAAAAAAAAAGATAACTGAACGGTGAAGCGAGGGGACATCATCGTCGCCGTATTAACAAAGTAGAGAACATCTTGATTTGGACTTTTGTTAGTATTTTTCGAGCAGTTGGGACATTTGCTCCGCACAAATACAGCTCTTCCACAACCATAACAGTGTACCGCTGTTTGTACGTGTTATGGCTCGGTCTTTTCTACTTCTGGTGGTGGTCGCAGGTCATTTTCTTTTGGCGTCGAAGTAGCCTGAAATTGACACTGGTTGCAGTGGATGCTTGTATGCCCGAAATGTCTACAAGTGTTGCAGTGGTCACGATCCGTCAGATATAGGGCTACGAATTTATGTTCCACTGCACAGCAGTTGCTGGTTTCTTTTGGTACGTAGTAATGAACTTAAAAGCCCATAAATTGAACTTCTTCTCTGTGTGGTTCCGTCAGTTCCGCGAGTAAACCGCGTTTCTGTTGACGAATTCGTCCGTCGGGGTGTTCTTAAAGCGTCCTTCCTAAAGCGTTCTCATCGCTAATATTTTCAATCTTTTTAAAAATGGAAATTGTCGATGTGACAACGCGAACTTTTCCATAGTTGTAGGCCTACCGAAACGTGCAGTACATTTCGGAAACCTGCCACGCTCGACAAATTGCCTTCCGTTCAAGAACTCCATTAATTTTAAAAATTGGGATGTAAATAATTGGACTAGGAAAGAAAAAGGAATCTCGCTGGTGTCCTGGTCGGTGGAGATGAAATTCTAGAGTTTAGAGATGGTGTCCCGGAGTTCAGTGTCGAAGGAGTCCTGGACATCCGAGCAGGAGTCTTGAAGACTGCTCTTACGTTTGGCGCCAACATTGTAAGATAGCATTGTTCGTTGTAGAATAGCTCAAGAAGGACACTGAGGAATTTCTGGACAAAACAAATAATACATTTATTCATATAAACATAGACTTTTACAAAATCAAAATTACAAAGTTCCAAATCAAATTTCCAAATTTTTAAGTTTCATGTTATATCATTGAGGAATTTACGTAACATAATTATTAGTGCTCGGACTTTACAATTTAATAATTTTCGAAAGTTATACTGGAGGTATCTGAGAGGTTCTTCCGTTACAATTTTAATTTTATTATTAGCACAAAATTTCGGGAATCAGTTAGCATTCAATTTATTGAAATAATTTCTGTCATCAATGGTTTGCTCTTTCTAATGTGGAGAAAAGAACATACACCGTTAAATTTAAATGACATAAAGACATTGCTCTAGTTACAAATGTTTCAAAGTTCAAAATTTCCAAATTCTCATACTCTAAAGTTTCTGAACTTGTCAACTTTTTGAATTTCCAAAATCTCTAATTACCAAATCTAAATTTTTAAATTTGTCACTTTCTAAATTTTGAAATATCATTTAAACATATCTAAGACATTGGTACCAGTCGTAAAGATATAAACCAAGCTAAACGGAATTTCAAACTATTGTATGACTGATTTCACCCAAACCGATACAAATTTAGTTCAGTAGATTTTATAGAGAGATGAGTGATCAAAAAATATTATATTTGTCGTGCTTTTGGGGGAAATAAATCAGTGTTTTCACACTGATTCCACAGCGTTTTCACATCACATTCCGAATATAATATTTATTTATATACAAACTCGTATATGCATCTAATTTGCCTAAAATTGACAAGCGAAATAATGCTTATGGATATAAATTTGGTTTATCGCCATTACTATTAATACTAATGGTTTAATGACAACGATATCATAATATTAAGGACACCACGGCATCAGGATTAGAAAAAGGAAGCCGAGAAATAATAACAAAACTTATAATACACATTAAAATAATCGATAAAAGATCAGTTTAACTGATGGCCAAAGTTTATAATTGAGAAATTATATTTTAATTCCCAATCTAAAGTACTACAATTCTAAATTAAATTCTAATCTTATCAATTTTAAGAATTACGGTAAGTTTGTTCGAAATTAAAAGTACTTTTTATTTGATCGAAATTCAATTTCGAAATAAATTTTTACTGTTATTAAGATACAATTAAATTACAAACTTAATTTTAGTTCGCGATGAGAAAGAGTTTCAATTAATAATTGCATATGTATCGTAAATTAAAACCACACAAAATTAAAATTTTCAATCTAAAAATTTTTATTAAATTTTCAATTACAAAATTAACAATCATGCAGTTAACAAGTTGGAGATAGTTCTCTTTCGTAACGTATTTAAATATCCTGTATAACTAGAACATTCTGTTCTGAATCGAAAAATTGGAAGTCGCAGATGTCTGTCGCAGACAAGATTTTAATAAATAGTTTGGTCGATTTTCTACGTCATTTATTGGTTGCTTTGTATAATACATACAATTTTATTCTATTTATTTGTTTTAAGTTCCTGTATTATATGACTTTTTTAGATTACAGATTTGATGTTTGTGCTAAGTAACATTACATTGGATCTACGACATAACAAAATCCAACACATTCAGCTCAACACAAAGGAGGAATATGGGAATTATAAAGCAATAAAAGGAAACATAGAAATATTAGTCGCTAATAATCCTATAATATGTGACTGTAAATTGTATGACTTTCTTTATTACTTGGACGAAAAAATGCGCCCTGCTTTTCAACAATTTGTTCATATAACGGCAGAAAACTTGACGTGTCGTGAACCAGAGTGGACGAATGGTACACTTGTGAACAAATTACAATGGAAAACCTTTAAATGTCCAAAATCAGAATCATGTCCAACCAAGTGTTCTTGTTGGATAAAACCAAATGAGAGACTATTTTTAATCGATTGCTCCTACAAAAATTTAACGGCAATACCAACGGATATGAATAGTATTCCTTATTATCGTAGCGAAATAAATAAATCTACTGAAATTCCGTTTTTAACGAAATTACGTCTTGCGAACAACAACATCAGCGACGTGTCTGTGAAGGAATTGTCATTAAATGTGGAGGTATGTAAAGTATTTGTTTCTCTGGAAATTGGAATTTTAGTTATTATGCACGTGAAATTGTTATATATGAGCATATTTATGCTAATACCAGTCACGATTATATTAATGTACGTTCCCAGAAAATTGAGATTGAGGACCTTTAAGCGACCAGAGTGTACTTTAAATTTACCAATGCCTTACTAATGCTTTAAATAATTTTAGCATTCAGTAGACAAAACGGGACGTTCGTTACCGTTATCATTTCATATATCAAGCTAATATAACACCACAGTACAGATTCTAAATAGCAAGCATTGTTTTAAAGTTAACACAATTGAGTTAAAAGTATTAGCACAATAATTCATGATAACTAAGTACATTCGAACTAATTATTCGTATCCTAAAGTTTCCACAAGTGCTTCACATTCTTTGTGGATTTCACTCGTCTCTCTCCGACTTGCACCGACATCTATCTTCTTGCTTATTTTTATCATATCTGAAATATAAAGTATTCTCTACATCTAAGATAACTAAAGTAAGTCTGCTGATGTAGATCTTTTCACACGTTTTTATGAACCTCTTAACGAATTAATAGTTTTAACTATGCAATATGCTACTTATACTTGTAAGTTCAGAATCAAACAGTTTGATAATGAACGTTTTCAGGCTTTGGAACTGCATAATAACAGCATTAAAACATTGAAATCAGATGTTATACAATACTTAAGAAATTCCACGACGCTAAAAACGCTTACACTACATGGTAACCCATGGATATGTGATTGCGACTCAAAGGATTTCGTAGACTTCGTCCAGTCACAGACTTTTAAGCGGATTCTGAATTCATCAATGATCGAATGTAGAAATATAAAAATTCCCATACTAAAAATAAGTATGGAAGATCTTTGTTCAAACAACGTTATGATATTGATAGTAGGTAAAGAAATTCCACGACGCTAAAAACGCTTACACTACATGGTAACCCATGGATATGTGATTGCGACTCAAGGGATTTCGTAGACTTCATCCAGTCACAAACTTCTCAGCGGATTTTGAATTTATCCATGATCGAGTGTAGAGATATCAAAATTCCCATACTAAAGATAAGAATGGAAGATGTTTGCCCAAACAACGTCATGATATTGATAGTAGGTGCAAGTTTCGCTGTTATTATTGCTGCATTAATCATTAGTACTGTAATAGCACTATATTATCGATACCAGCGAGAGATCAAGGTATGGTTGTATGCTCATAAGTTCTGCTTATGGCTGGTAACAGAAGATGAATTAGATAAGAATAAGTTGTATGATGCGTTTATCAGTTATTCGCATCATGACGAAGATTTTGTTGTAAATGAGCTTATCAAAAAGTTGGAAGATGGTCCTAGACCTTTCAAACTGTGTGTGCACTTTCGTGAGTGGCTGGCTGGAGAATATATACCAACCCAAATTGCTCGTTCTGTTGAAAATTCAAGACGGACGATAGTAGTATTGTCGACTAATTTTCTAAATAGCGTTTGGGGACGGATGGAATTCAAAGCAGCACACTGTCAAGCTCTCAGTGAAGGTAGAACAAGAGTGATTTTAATTCTGTATGGTGAAATCAATGTCACTGATGACTTCGACCCGGATCTTAAGGCGTACTTAAACATGCACACATACATAAAGTGGGGAGACCCTTCATTCTGGGATAAACTACGATACGCTCTACCACATCGTCCAGAATTAAAAAGTAATTATAGTTATGGGGAAACTGTTTCGGAAACATTTGCTTTAGATGTAATCAGGCAGCAGTAAGAAAATAAAGGGGAAAATAAAAGAAGGTTCCGAAATTATACAATCATATGTAACTGATTGGTAACTTTTTTGTACGAACGATTTTGTTTGAAAGCATCACGTTTCGAAATAAAGTTACAAGAACATAAAAAGCAGTTGATTATTAGAAATCTACGTACAACCGTCCGATCCCATTTTCACTCCAGATGTTTATATTTACGTCACGTAAAAGCACATATACCTACTGTGATGTTCGTGAAACTCCGATGACAAACCATCAGGTCATCCCTAAATTGTTCATACTATCGTCCTGTTCTTTTACGTGAATTTTCCTTTTAGAGAACTTTACAGAAATATAACAGAGTATATCTCTGCTATCGAAATGTTGTAAAGAATAAATATACAGCTGAGACGACACTGAACAACGTTATCTATTACAAAAATGTTGGTTGTACAGTGAGTTTATTAACCTAGCAGCGACAACGCTTATTATGCGGTGTATATATTCTTTTCCGGAAGATCAGGGTTGGTGGAACAACCTAGTTACGGAGATATATTTTCACCAAAGTAAGACTTCTTTTAAACAGTGAGTGAGTCCGATTTATATTATTTCTACATATCCTACTTGTCGTAATCCCGATGAATAACAATACTTGAAATTGTTCAAATCTTTCTTTTAATGTCAAAAATTAAATTGAGAAATCCAAAGTTATACAGAAAAATACTTTTAACAATGAATAAATTAATTAATTGAAGATTAAACGAAATGCTCTGTGTGAAAGACAAACTGGAACTGCCCGAAACAAAGGATCGAGGAGGTGCCTGTTCGAGCATGAAAACCGCGCCTCATTTGTTTTTTCTGACGAACTTTCTAGAAAGAAAGTAAAAGGCTATTTTTAACCGACTTCGAAAAAGGAGGAGGTTACTCAATTCGATCAGTATATTTTTTTTTTCTTTTTTTTTTTTATTATTATTATTTTCTATGTGTGCCCGCCGATTAC